TAAAATGGAAAAACAAAATAAACAAAAACCCTATAACCAAACTACAATTTGAAGAAGTTCCAATTTGAAGAGGGAACATGGACTAGAGTATCACTCGCACATGAGCAGAGTGTGGCACAAAGGTGACCTTCTTAGGAAGAGGAGAGGTCTAGGCACAGTAGGCCACGTCAGGACACACAGGAGAGAGTGGATTCTCGCTGAGCCCCCATCTGAGCGTGCAGCCCAGCTAGCCCTCATGAGACCTTGGAGCAGAGTCATGACCACATTACAGAAGGCACCACAATGAGGCTCAAAGAGCTGGCCAGAGCAGCAGCGATCAACCCCAGAAGCCCACACTTTCTGCCCTGCACTGCTATATTCCAAGCAAATAAAATACACATCTGGGTTTATCTGAACACATACACTAATACCACTAATACCTAAGATCTATTTATGTAGGCTTAAAGCTAATGAGGAAACAGGTTCTCACTAAACAAGAATCTCTCAGGTGATGGCTGCCAGAGGGGAGGGAGTGGAGGCAGGGCAAAATGGAGGAGAGTGGGAGTTACGAGCTCCCAGTCATGGAATGAATAACGGGGATAAAGGGTGCAGAACAGAGAACAGAGTCAATGCTTTTGTAACAGCGTTGTATGGTGACAGTAAAGATACTGTGGTGAGCACACTGTAACATACAGACTTACGGAATCATTATGCTGTACACCTGAAGTAAATGTTAACATTGTGTATCAGCTCTACTTCAATAAAAACAAAATAAAATTTAAAAAAAAATCTCTCAGGGAACCAGTTAACATCTGCACTATACAAACCCCTATAAAGAACAAAATTAGAACTTATAATCAAAAACTGAGGACAACCTGAATATAAAATAAAACCAACTGACCTGAAATGCCCAGTACTGCACTTCTGCAGTAGCTGGGACCAAGTTTAGTGAACACTGCATAGGATTAAAAACCATAAAACTGATGTATCAGGAAGCTATTATCATAAAGGTGTCAGCTACTGGCAAACCACACGACATAACAGGCATCGCACTGTTGTGCAATGCTCTCTCATCCCTCTTGGGTTAATTACCAGAGGCGCACGGAGTCCAGGGCTCCTGAATTATGTGAATCTGTGCAGGATGGTTCTGAGTTTTCACCAAGTTCTCAAAGAGGTCTGTGACCTGAAATAACCGGTTAAGGCTCGCTGCACTCCTGAGAATCTATAGCTTGGTATGTCACACCAAGAGGGTGATCCATGGGATGTCATGAGGACTCAGGGAGGAACAGACTTGACACAGGCTTCTGAGCCTCCTACACTCCTTCAAAACCACTTCAAGGCACTTATAGGATTCCAATTATGTCTGGGAATGAGTGAAATAAGAAAATCACAGAAGTAAATACACGGGATTCTCACCCACCTTTATACACACATTGACAGCGACAGTCTGATCCCCTTTGCTGCTGAGTGCGTGAAACAGAGCGAGCGTCTGAATGCCCCCAGCTTCACTGCTCATGTCGCCCACTGAGCCATCACCTCCCATGAACTTGACTTGTAACCAGTTTGCTAAAATTCTGTGAATAAAAGAAAATAACACTTCAAAAAGAGTCTACTTCTAAATGTAAACTGTAAAGATTTTTAGGAAAAGTAAGGAAGAGAAATACTATAGAGATGTAGGTTCACAGACATCAACTCTTACTGTAAAGTTGAGCTGGACAAAATAGGCTGTGATTTTAAACTGGAGCTAGGAACTCTACAGGGGCAACAGGAGAGGGCACTCATGAACCTGGTCCATTGCAGTGTGATTTAAAATTCTGAAGCACTAAGAAGACTGTGACCAATAGAAAAGGTCCTTAAGAGTTTGAAATACAGTTGACCCTTGAACAACACATGTTTGAACTGTGTGGGTCCAGTTATATGCAGATGTTTTTTAATAATGACAGTACAGTACTATAAATGTATTTTCCTTATGATTTTAAACATTTTCTTAACATTTTCTCTAGCTTTATTATAAGAATATAGTATATAATAGAAATACAAAATAGATGTTGACTCTTTATGTTAGGCTTCTGGTCAACAGTAGGCTATTAAGTTCTGGAGGAGTCAAAAGTTATATTCAGATTTCCAACTGTGTAGGGGGGATTGACCTCCCTAAAAGCCGTGTTATTTAAGGATCAACTATACACATGTTTTACAGAATCAAATTTCATGCCTGAGCTCTTAAGGATATAGTGATGTGTATTTCTTAGTGAATAAACTTATTAGCGAATCAGAAGACAGCTATTTTGTTCTAAGAAATGAATCCTCATTTAAATACTTTTAAAATACCACAACTCTCTTCTTTGCTCAGCTGTCTTACAAGCTTTATGACTTTTTCCTTAGCTTGCATGTGTTTCAATAGTTACCTGCTAAAAAACGAAAGTATTCAGAAAATTTAGTAACCCTCAAACACTGCTAACAAGAATGGAAAATGGTGCAGCCACTGTGGAAGACAGTTTGGGAATTCTTCAAAGACTTTCAAACATAAAGTTACCTCACAACCTAGCAATTCCACTCCTAGGTATATAACAAACAGAATTGCAAACATCTGTACACACAGACACGTATACATGAATGTTCACAGAATTATTCCTAATAACCAGAGTGGAAACAACCCAAATGCCCATCAACTGATGAACAGATAAATAACATGTGTTATATTCATGCAGTGGAATATTATTCAGCCACAAAAAAAGAATGAAAGACTGATATCTGCTACAAGAGAAAACCCAGAAAACATGACGGCTAAGTGAAAGGTGCCAGTCATAAGCCTACAGAGAGTAGGACTCCATTCATATAGGATGTCTAGAAAAGGAAAACGCATGGAAGACAGGAAACATATTAGTGGTTTCCAGGCGCTAACAACAGGGAGGAATGATGAGTAACTGCTAATGGATATGGGATTTCTTTGTAGGTAAAAAATGTTCTGGAATTAATGGTGATAGCTGTACCACTCTGTAAATATTAAAAACCAGTGAAACAGAAACTTTAAAGGGGTGGAATTTATAACATGTGAATTACATGTCAATAAAATTGTTAAAAAGGAAAAGTAATATGTTCTGCTTTAAAGTGACTTCTAGAAGCAGTTTGGTTACAGGAAATAATGCCGTGTCAATTTCTTGGATTTTTTTTTTTAAATGCCGGGTTTTTTTTCTTAAAAAAAAAAAAGGGGAGTATAGCAAACTATAGTCACCTGTCTTCCCCAAGAATCTACAATGAAGCAAGCTCTAATCAATATACCTCAGCATAGCTTTAAATGAGGATCAACTCTTAAAATGCTCTTGGGCCCAGTTTACAGAGTAAAAATTTAAATAATCTAAAGTGTCAACTTCAACTCACAAAACAGACTACAAGTCCCTCATGGCTGATGCTCTCGGAGAAGTCACTCCGCCTCCTGAAGTCACTTTCTCAACCTCAGAGCCCAGAGAGGGAAACCCTTCCTGACCTGCCAGGACTCCCTGGGGACTGCTCTTCTCCATCAGGCAACACCAGCACCAGTTTCCAAAACACACGCTCCCGCCTCCCAGGGAGGTGCTTGGCCACAAGGGACGGCAGGTCCAGGGGCACCCAAACCGCGTCACTGGAAGGGACAGAGCACAGAGGGTAAGCCAGTGCACAAGCCCAGGCAGGAGCAGCACGCACGCTGGGGGTATAACAGACCTCAGCAGTTGCTTGTAGAAGTGCTGAACCTTCATCTGGTGCGCCGTCTTATTTCTGAGCCACCTTAACCTACAAAGAAAGGAGAAGGACACTGCCTGCATGAGGCCAGCTCAGTGCCCATGCAAGGAGCTTGATAACTTACTTACCGATGTTCTGAGTGGGAAGTAACGGGTTAGTAGTGTCTCCTGATGGGAAATGCTTAGGAGACCAAGAAAACTTTTGCTGATAAAGAAACCAATTAGTCAAAGGACTTGTTCGTTCCACAAATATCAAGCAATTATCTATTGTCCCTAGTGCCAGCCATGGGAGATGAACAGTATACAGATAAAAATTCTGCCCTCTAGAACACACTCATGGGGACAGAAGAACCTCCACCAACAAGAATGGACATGGTATATCCATAAGACCAGAAGAGAAACAGGTGACTCTTAGTAAGATTCAATTACCAGGCCCTGAGTGTTTGAAGTGGAAAAGGCACATGAAATCAAAGCATGTAGAATATGTCCTACGTCCAGAACCTGAGGGGAAGACAACCTTCAGGAACACAACCCTGCATCTGTCTTCACTTTCTCTGATTCCACCCATCTTCCCTCCAAGTGCACACATTAATCCATGCTCTCTATAAAGCCAGGTGGGGCAGGGGGGCACTAGGCAGCCATGGCAGGCTGAGTGCTCACCTGGTGCAGGAGATGCCCACTGTTCCTGCATGGCCCAGGTCCAGAAGGCCCTTGGCCAAGTTCTCCTCAGCAATGGGGCACTCTGCACTGGGCACCAATGCCCTCAGCCGGTCGTTCATATCCACACAGCAGGGTGCTGCAGGGAAGGCTCGCATCTGGCGCCTCAGTTTCTTCCGGGCTGCGACGGCTTCCCTCCACCTGGAAGATACACCACCATATCATCACTGGATATTTTAAAGTTCACTACAGGGACAAAGGCAAAAACACAGTGCAGTGCTACAACATACGGAAGCAACGTTTTCTGGCAACGTTTAGGTCTTTCTCAGCAACAGTCCTCAAACTAAGAAATGAATCAGAATGAAAATTAATACTCAGGCACAGGAAAGGCATGACAGCAGAGGAGTGGTGGTGAACAACAAAACTAGGGAACTTAAATTAAGCACTAAAGCTGAACAATCTTTGGAAGCCAATTTGGCAATATGGATACAAATATAAGATACATATATACTTTGCCCCAGCAAATACCACTGATGGGAATTTATCTCCAGGTATGTGTACACCTCTGTGAAATGTTTGTACAAGGACAGTCACTGCAGTACTCTTCGTCATGGCTAAAAAGAAAAGCCACGTGAAAGTCCAGCAACTGAGAACCAGGTAGGTCATTTATGGTGCCTCCGACACCTGGAAGAGCCCAATATGCTGTTGTGCTTAGGCCTCCACCTGACCTCAAATGGAGGAAAAAAGGTTAGCACAGAGTAGAGAACACGCTGTCATCTGTCCTAACCACCACAAAAAAGGGCAGAAGGCTCTGGATGGGTACTCAGCAGCTGCTTCTGAGGAGGAAAATGGGGGTCTCTTGTGAAATAGACACTCTTTCTCCCTCTATTCCCTCTTATATGGTTGAAACTTCAAGGTACACTGTTATTTATTTTAAATGAAACTATGAAATGAATCACCACACAACATGCATAGTACATGCCCAGTTTAAAGATTAATGATAAATTAAACAGCCACATACTTCCATCCAATTAAGAAGCAGTGGCCATGACCAGCACTGGGCCCTGCTCAATCACACACCCTCTCACTCCCAAAGGTAACCACTATGCAAAGTTATGTTCACCATTTTCCTTTTCTTTAGAGTTATACTACTATGTATAAATTTAAAACAATCTGGTTTGACTATACACTGTACATTGTACACATTTCCCTAAGAATTGCTTTTTCACTATAAATTGTTTTAGAAATTCATCTATGTGGGTGCATACAGCTAGAATTTGTTTGGCTTATTCATGGCCATCTCTCTGTGTTGAGAGCAGTGGGTAAATGAAAGAAAGCAACCTATAAATACTTGTTGAAATACAGAACAGCTCCCAGTCTAATTCCTTACTTATCCCCTTAGCATCTACCCTTTAGGAAGGAACATGTTTCACATGTGTATATAATTGACTATTTCTGAAAGTATAATCTTGTCAAAGGCTTTCCCCATGTGCATCCATTTCATGTGTAAGGACATAGGACTCACCGCTGGAGATACTTGCAGAAGCACTGAAGTTCCTGGAGGGTCTCCTTTGCAGTCTGGAAAATTTCTTCCCCGAGAAACAAGTCCACCAGGTGGGCACAGACATCCTCACAGCAACGGGCCATGCGGACCCTCTGGTCTGTCTCCACTGCACTCCTACAGAAGAGAGCAATCAGGATAGGGACACTGCACCCAGGGCCCACACACACTGAGGGCTTGTCCTATAAAATGGCAAGACCTACATCCTTACTGTTGAAATGTAATTATGTCTCTGGCACAAGAGAAACTCTCTGTCAAATAAATAAAATCTTTAAAAAAAAAAAAGAGAAGCTTTGAGATTTTCATTTTACTTAATGTACAGACACCTGAAAAGATAGAGCAAAAAAGAACAAAAGCAGTACAGGGTACCAGATCACAGGTCCAACAGAGCCCTTGCAAATAGTCAATAAGTAAACCTTTATCTTAATAAAATAGTTACAAAATTTAATTTTTAAGTGACCAATAAGACAACTACAACACCTTCTCATCAGCTGTATCTGATGTTTGCAATTAGAAGTGCCTCAAGTACATGACAGCCGGCAGCCAAGACTGGCAGCCCATGTTTCACATGGCAGTGGCCCTCAGATAAACCAATATCTAAAAGAAGATTTTTATGACAAAATTCTGTCAACCAAGGGAACACAGAAAATGTTATCAAATACATTTAGTCACAAAATCAAAGTAGCTTAAACAAGCAAGACGTGTTTCCAGTAGCCATCCTCTGTGGCAGATGGAGACAGCCCTGGTGCTGAGCTGAAGCCCAGGTCTCCCAGGACTGTAGGAAAATGTATCAGCAAGTCCTAGCTCTTAATATATTTCCTAACACTCCTTCCTGGGATTAAGAATAGACATCGATCCATCACTTATGAGGTCTCATGCTTATAGTAAACAGGGAAATAGACTCCCATTTATTAAAGAAGGAAAGAAACATTATTTAAACAAAACACTTCAGAGGTGCATGGGTGGCTCAGTCGTTAAGCGTCTGCCTTCGGCTCAGGTCATGATCTCAGGGTGCTGGGATCGAGCCCCGCATCAGGCTCCCTGCTCCGCGGGAAGCCTGCTTCTCCCTCTCCCACTCCCCCTGCTTGTGTTCCCTCTCTCGCTGTGTCTCTGTCAAATAAATAAATAAATAACCTTTAAAAAAGGGGTGCCTGGTTGGCTCAGTTGGTTAAGCGACTGCCTTGGCCTCAGTCATGATCCTGGAGTCCCGGATTGAGTCCCGCATCGGGCTCCCTGCTCAGCAGGGAGTCTGCTTCTCCCTCTGACCCTCCCCCTCTCATGCTCTCTCTCTATCTCATTCCCTCTCTCAAATAAATAAAATCTTAAAAAAAAAAAAAACCTTTAAAAATAATAATAATAAAAATTAAAAAAACACTTCAGCCTCCTGGCTATGTCCTCCATCTGCACTGGAATCTGTGCTCTATACTAATATAGCTCATCACTTTCAAGGCTACCTCAGGGGAGCTTAAGCACAAAGACAGATTTCCCTGCACACTGAACTTCTTTCTACCCTGAAGCTTGGAGGTAAAATCAATAAAGTTCTTAAGCGACCATCAACTTAATACACACTACTGTACACATAAGATGTTATATATGAGCCTCGTGGTAACCACAAATCAAAAACCTATAATAGAGGGGTGCCTGGGTGGCTCAGTCAGTTAAGCATCTGCCTTCGGCTCAGGTCATGATCCCAGAGTCCTGGTATCGAGCCCCACGTCAAGCTCCTTGCTCAGCGGGGAGCCTGCTTCTCCCTCTCCCTCCACCTGCCATTCCCCCTGCATGTGTTCACTCGCTCACTCTCTCTGTCAAATAAATAATAAATAAAATCTTTAAAAAATAAAACCCATAATAGATACACAAAAAATAAAGAGAAAGGAATCCAAGCATATTATTAATGAAAGCCATCAAACCACAAGTGAAGAGAGAAGAAAGGAACAGAGAACTATAAAAAAAAAAAAAAAAAACAACAGAATGCAATTAACAAAATGGCAATAAGTACATACCTACCTATCAGTAATTACTTTAAATGTAAATGCTTTAATCAAAAGACATAGGGTGACTGAATGGATTTAAAAAACAAGATCCATCTAACATGCTGCCTACAAGAGACTCACTTCAGACCTAAAGACATAGAGACTGAAAGTGAAGGGGTGGAAAACATACACTACGCAAATGGAAGTGGGAAAAAAAGCCTAGGTAGCAATACTTATATCAAACAAAGTGACTTTAAAACAAAGACCATAGTAAGAGACAAAAAAGTACAGTACATAATGATAAAGGGAACAATCCAAGAAGAAGACATAACAATTGTAAATATCTATATACCCAACATGGGAGCACCTAAATACATAAAGCAAATATTAACATACATAAAAGGAGAAATTCACAGTAATACAGTAATGATAGAGGACTTTAAAATCACATTTACATCAATGGATAGATCAGACAGAAAATCAACAAGGAATCAGTGACTTTGAACAACACATGAGACCAGTTAGACCTAACAGACATATATGGAACATGCCATCCAAAAACAGCAGAATACACATTCTTTAAGTGCACATAGAACATTCTCCAGGATAGATCACTTGTTAGGCCACAGAACAAGTCTCAATAAATTTAAGAAGACTAAAATCATATCAAGCATCTCTTCTAAACACAACAGTATGAAACTAAAAATCAGAAACAAGAAAAAAATCTGGAAAGAACATAAACAAATGGGGGCTAAACAGCAGGCTACTAAACACTAAATGGGTCAACCAAGAAATCAAAGAAATTAAAAAAGTACATGGAGACAAATGAAAATGAAAACACAATAGTCCAAAATCTTTGGGATACAGCTGTTCCAAGAGGGAAGTTTATAGTGATAGAGGCCTACCTCAAGAAATAAGAAAAATCTCATATAAACAACGTAACCTAAAAGAGCTAGGGGGAAAAAAGAACAAACAAAACCCAAAGCTTGTAGAAGGAAAGAAGTAATAAAGATTAGAGCAGAAATAAATGAAACTGAGAGTAAACACAAAATAGAAAAGATCAATAAAACCAAGAGCTGGTTCTTTAAAAAGATAAACAAAATTGATAACCCTTTAGGCCAGACTCATCAAGAAAAAGAGAGGACTCAAAATCAGAAACGAAAGAAGAGACGTAACAACTCACACCACAGAAATACAAAGGTTATAAGAAAATACTACGATAAATGATATGCCAACAAACTGGACAACCTAGAAGAAGTAGATAAATTCCTAGAAACATACAATCTTCTAAAACTCAATCAGGATGAAATAGAAAATTTGAGATTACTAGTAATGAAATTGAATCAGTAATCAAAAAACTCCCAACAAACAAAAGTCCAAGACTAGATGGCTTCACAGGTAAATTCTATCAAAAATGTCAATAAGGGTTAATACCTATTATTCTCAAACTATTCCAAAAAATAGAAGAGAAAAGAAAACAGTCTATAAATGTAGAAACGTTCATTCTACAAAGCCAGCATTATCCTGATACAAAAACAATGACACTACAAGAAAAGAAAACTACAGGCCAATATCCCTGACGAACACAGATGCAGAAACCCTCAACAAAATATTAGCAGACTGAATTCAACAATACATTAAAAAAATAATTCACCACAATCAAGTGGAATTTATTCCAGGGATGCAAAGGTGGTTCAATATTTGCAAATCAATATGACACACCACATTAACAAAAGAAAGGATAAAAACCATATGATCATCTCAATAGATGCAGAAAAAGCATTCGACAAAATACAACACCCATTCATGATAAAAACCCTCAACAAAGTATGTTTAGAGGGAACACATTTCAACATAATAAAGGCCATATATGAAAAACCCACAGAAACATCATATTCAATGCTGAAAAACGAGAGCTTTTCCTCTAAGATCAATAACAAGTCAAGGATGCCACTCTCACCACTTTTTTCCAACACAGTCCTGGAAGTCCCAGCCACAGCAATGAGACAAGAAAAAGCAATAAAGACATCCAAATTGGTAAAAAAGAAGTAAAACTGTCACTATTTGCAGATGACATGACACTACATATAGAAAATCCTAAAGACTCCACCAAAAAACTATCAGAACTGATAAATGAATTCAATAAAGTTTCAGGATATAAAATTAATACACAGAAATTTGCTGCATTTCTATACACTAATAACGAAGTAGCAGAAGGAGAAATTAAGAAAACAATCCCATTTACAGTTGCACCAAAAAAAATAAAATACCTAGGAATAAATTTAATCAAGGAGGTAAAAGACCTATACTCTGAAAACTTTAAAACACTGATTAAAGAAACTGAAGATGACACAAACAGAAAGGTATTTCTTGCTCATGGGTTGAAAGAATTAATACTGTTAAAATGTCCATACTACCCAAAGCAGTCTACAGATTCAATACACTCCCTATCAAAATACCAATAGCATTTTTCACAAAACAAAAACAAATAATCCTAAAATTTGTATGGAACCACAAAGACCCTGAATAGTCAAAACAATCTTAAGAATAACAAAGTTGTAAGTATCACAATCCCAAATTTCATAATGTGTGACAAAACTACTATAATCCAAAATAGTATGGTACTGGAACAAAAAGAGACACAGAGATTAATGGAATAGGATAGAGGGCCCATACCTATATAGTCAATTGTCTTTAAACAAAGGGGGAAGGAATATACAATGGAGAAAAGACAGTTTTCAACAAATGGTGTAGGGAAAACTGGATAGCTACATGTATAGGAATGAAACTATACCACTTTCTCACACCACATGCTAAAAGAAACAAAATGGATTAAAGACCCAAGTGTGAGACCTGAAACCTTAAAACTCCTGAAAGAAAACACAGGCAGTATCTCTTGGACATCAGCCTTAGCAACATATTTATGGATATGTCTCCTCAGGCAAAGGAAACAAAAGCAAAAATAAACTACTAAGATTATACCAAAATAAAAAGCTTTTGCACAGTGAAGGAAACCATCAGCAAAACAAAACAAAAAGGCGACCCAGTGAATGGGAGACGATATCTGTAAATTACATATCCAATATGGATGGGGTTAATATCCAAAATACATAAAGAACTTACATAACTCACCACAGGCAGAGGACCTGAATATATATTTTTCCAAAGACATATATATGGCCAACAGACATATGAAAAGATGTTCAACATCACTAATCATCAAGGAAATGTGAATCAAAACCATAATGAGATATCACCTCAGTCAGAATGACTAGAATCAAAAAGACAAATAGTAATGTTGGCCAGGATGTAGAGAAAAGGGAACCCTTGTCTACTATTGGTGGGAATGTAAATTAGTACAACCATTGTGGAAAACAGTATGGAGGCTCTTCAAAAAATTAAAACTTAAAACACCATATGATCCAGTATTCTACTACTGGGTAGTAGAATATCTTACCCAATATCAATATCTTACCCAAAGATATTGAAAACTAATTTGAAAAGATACATGCACCCCTATGTTTATAACAGCATTATTTATAATAGCCAAGATATAGAAACAACTTAAGTATCTATAGATACATAAATAAAGATATGGTGTGTGTGGGGGTGTGTGGGTGTGGGTGTGGGTGTGTGTGTGTGTGTAATGGAATACTACTAGGCCATCAAACAAGAATTAGAGCTTGCCATTTGCAACAACATGGATGGACATAGAGAATAATGTACTAAGTGAAATAAGACAGAAAAAGACAAACACCATATGATTTCACTTATATGTGGAATCTAAAAAACAGAACAAAGAAATAAACAAAAACAGACTCTTAAATACAGAGAGCTGGTGGTTGCCAGAGGAGAGGTGGGGGGCGGGGAATGAGTGAAAGAGTGAAATAAAGAGGATTAAGACATACAAACTTCTAGTCAAAACATAAATAAGTCACAGAGATGAAAAGTACAGCATAGGGAATAGAGTGAATAATAAATACTGTAATAATGTTGTATAGTAACAGGTGGTGAATACACTTATCATGGTAAGCACTGAATAATTTATAGAACTTTCGAATCAATATGTTGTACATCTGAAGCTAATATAACATTGCATGTTAATTATACTTTAAAAAAAAGAAGTTAATAAAATTCTTAAATGAGATACCTCAAAAAAATCTTTTAACACAGGAAACAAGAGAAAGGATCTTCTACTTGAGAAAAACTAACAGTAAATACCTCGGTGTGTAGAAGACTACCAGTGAATTATTTTGCTAACAGACACTTCCCTACAACCAGTGCAGGATCCACAGTGAGGTCAAGAGTGTAAGTGAGGCCCTCTCTGGAGGCAACACACACTCAAGAACAAGAATGGCATTTTACTGTTTGGCTATCCAAAAGATATGTTCCTTGTCAAAGTGAAACACAGCTAGCCTGAACTGCAGCAGCCTGGCCATAGTGCCTCAATAAACCCCTTCTTTCCCACCACCCTACACCCTTGAACTACAAGATACCAGCACTTCATTTACTTCAACTCTTGGGAGCAGGTTTCCCTCACGCATTCTGTCACAACAAGTTCTGTCAGCTCTGTAGCCAGGCCCTGGCTCAGCTGAGTTAACACCAGTTCTCTCTCTTGTTTCAACCTAAGGGTAAAAGGAAAAAAAAGCACAAGAGTAATGTTTAAGAATAAAAATAAGCGTCAGCACCCTCCCTGACCTCGAAAGTTAGGATTTGAGTTGTGCTGCCTAAGCCGGCAAGCCCCCAACTCTGATCCCACCAGACAAGCCACATAGCCACACACACTCCAGCTCCCCTGACCACCACCCTTCCCCCCTCCAGCTGTGGGGGAAGGCAGCTGCTCACAAGGTGGGTGTGGCCTCGGACCCCCACCCATTACCTGGACTGCAGTGTATGAGGGCGCTGGGTGAACCATGGGTCTGATGCCAGTGCAGTGGACAACAGGAAGAGCATCCCAGGCCAGGGCAGGTTCTGTCCCGTGTCCACACACTCTGACCTCAGGTGCACTGCAAGAACAAGACACACTCACCTCTCCTCTTCAGCCTGCCGCCTCTCCTCCTCCTTTCGCTCCCTTTCCTTAGACACTTCTTCAGCTGCAATGTGCCTCAAAATGCCTGTGGTTGCAGCTGTTAATAGCTCCTCCATAGCAGCATTGGAAACACTAGGGAGAGAAAAGTGAGTATCATTCTAAATAAATAAATAAAAGCCAAGCAAGCCGCATAACTAAACTTCTAATATTGACTAGGAAAAATATATATTTGGCTTTTAGCATAAAAATTAAGCTCATGTCTAAAACACACAATCTATCAAAACTGACTCATGTAGAAAGAGAAAATCTGAATAGACCTATAACTTATGAGATTCACTCAGTATTCATAAACCCCTCCCAACAAAGAAAAGTCCAAAAACACATGGCTTCACCGACAAATTAAACACTTAAGGAAGAACTAACACCAATGCTTCTCAAACTCTTCTAAAAATGTGAAGAGGAAGAAACACTTTCCAACACTTCTGTGAAGCCAGCATTGCCCTGAACCAATACACTAATAACAAAACCAGACAAAGACACTGTAAGAAAACCACAGACCAATATCCCTTAAGGATAATGATACCAAAATCCTCAACAAGATATCAACAAAACAAGATTCAGCAATATATTTAAAGGATTATATAAAATTACCAAATGGGATTTACTACTAGAATGCAAGGATAGTTCAACAAATGAAAAACAATGTAATACAAACATATTAATAAACTGAATGGAAAAAACTCAAATGATCATCCTAATTGATGCAGAAAGAGCATCTGACAAAATTCAGCCCCATTTCACAATAAAAAGCACTCAAAAAACTACAAAAAGAAAGGAATTCCCTCAGCATGATACAGCCTGTATATGAAACAACCACAGCTAACATCATATTCAGATGTGAAACACTGAAAGCTTTTCCTCTAAGACCAGGAACAAGACAAGGATGCCCTATTTGCTGCTTCTATTCAATACTATACTGGAAGTTATAGAAAAATAAAAAACATCCATAACTACAAAGGAAGAAAAAAACTATTATCTATTCATTGAGGACATGATCTTGTATATAGTAAAACCTAAGAAATCCATTCAAAACCTATTAGAACTAATAAACAAGTTTAGCAAGATTGGAATGTAAGGATCAAAAAAATCAGGGGTTCCTGGGTGGCTCAGTTGGTTGGGCATCTGCCTTCGGCTCAGGTCGTGATCCTGGGATGGAACCCCGTGTCAGGCTATCTGCTCAGTGGGGACTCTGTTTGTCCCTCTGCCCCTCCCCCCCATGCTCTCTCTCTCAAATGAATAAAAATCTTTAAAAAAAAAAAATCAATCGTATTTCTATATGCTAGCAATGAACATTCTAAAAGTGAAATTAAGTAAACAATTTGATTTAAAATAGCACTGAAAAGAATAAAGCAATTAGTAATAAATTTAACCAAGGAGATGAAAGACCTATACAATGAAAAGCAGAAAACATTGCTGAAAGAAATAAAGGATGACCTAAACAAATGGAAAGAGAGCCCATGTAGATAGACGAGAAGACTTTTTTTTTTTAAGTAATCTAAGCCCAACATGGGGCTCAAATTCACAACCCCAAGATCAAGAGAGTCACATGCTCTATCGACTGAGCCAGCCAGGTGCCCCTAGACTGGAAGACTTAACGTTAAGATGTCAAAACTACCCAAAGCAATCTACAGATTCAATACAATCACTATCAAAATCCCAGAAGCATTTTTGTAGAAATAGAAAAACTCATCCCAGGGGCGCCTAGCTGGCTCAGTTGGTTAAGCATCCGACTCTTGATTTCGGATCAGGTCATGATCTCAGAGTCGTGAGATCCAGCCCCAGGTCAGCCTCTGCACTGGGCATGGAGCCCGCTTAAGATCCTCTCTCTGCCCCCCACCCCCGCTCGCTCACTCTCTCTCAAAAAAAAAGAAAGAAAAACTCATCCTAAAATTTCATATGGAATTTCAAGGGACACCAAATAGTGGAACGTTCTCAAAAAAGAGAAACAAAGTTGAAGGACTCATGCCTTGTGATTTCAAAACTTACTACAACTTACTACAAAGCTATGCAATCAAAACAATGGTATTGGCATAAAAACAGACATATGGACCGACAGAGCAGAATAGAGAATCCAGAAAGAAACCCTCACATATATGACCAGTTGATTTCCAACAAGGGTGCCAAGACCATTCAAAGAGGAAAAGATAGTCATTTCAAAATACAAAGAATATATACAAAAGAATGGTGTTGGACCATATATGAAAATGAAACCAACATGGAACAAAAATCTAAACTTAAGAGTTAAAACTATAATTTTCTCAGAAGAAAACACAGGAAAATATTCATAACATTGGATTTGGCAATTTCTTGAATATGAAACCAAAAGTACAGGCAACAAAAGAACAATTAGATAAAATGGACTACATAAAACTTAAGACTTCTGTGCACCTAAGGACACTATCAAGAAAGTAAAAAGACAATCCAAACAGAAAAGACATTCCCAAACAGAATAGGAAAAAATGTTTGAAATCATGTATCTGAAAAGGGATTAATATCCAGAAAATAAATGAACTCCTACAAACTCAACAAAAAACAATTAAAAATGGGCAAAGGACATATACAAAGGCAAATAAGCACATGAAAACAGGCTTAACATCATTACTCATTAGGGAAATGCACACCAAAACTACAACAAGATACTACTCTGCACCCTTTATGATGACTACAATAAAAAAAATTTTAGGGCGCCTGGGTGGCTCAGTCGGTGAAGCACCTGCCTTCGGCTCAGGTCATGATCCCAGGGTCCTGGGATCAAGCCCCACATTGAGTTTCCTGCTCAGTGGGCAGCCTGCTTCTCCCTCTCCCTCTGCCTGCTGCTCCCCCCACCTGTGCACTCGCTCTCTGTCAAAACCTTTAAAAAATTTTTTTTAACGATGATACTGTATATTGGCAAGAATGTAGAGAAAATGGAACCCTTGTGCACTGCTGGTGGGAATATAAAATGGTGCAGCCACTGTGGAAAACAGTTTGGAAGTTTTTCAAAAATTAAAAAAAGATCATATGATCTAGTAAGTCCACTCCTAGGCATATGCACGTAAGAACTGAAAGTAGAGACTCAAATAGTTATTTGTACAGCAATGTTCACAACAGCATTATTCACAATAGTCAAAAGGTGGAACTAACCCCAAGTGTCCATCAACAGATGAATAAACAAAATGTGTATATACATGTGTATATGTGTTTATGCAGTTTACCCCTGAAAAACACGGGTTTGAACTGCACAGGTCCACTCACACATACAATACTGTAAGTGTATTTTCTCTTCCTTATGATTTTCGTACTAACGTCTCCTTCCCTCTAACTTACTTTACTGTAAGAATGCAGTATATGATACACATAACACACACAATATGTGTTAATCGACTATTAATTGCTATCAGTAAGGCTTCCAGTCAACAGTAGGTTACAATTACTTAAGATTTTGGGTAGTCAAAAGTTATACTTGGATTTTCGACTGCACAGGGGGTCAGCACCCCTGACCCCCCACGTTGGTCAAAGGTCAACTGTATACTTTAATGCAGTATTATTCAGCCATAAAAAAGGAATGAAATGCTAGTATGGGGCTATATCCAAGAGATGCACTTGAAGACATTTTTGTGTCTAAAAAAATCCGGACAAATACTGTTACGATATCACTCATGTGAGGTACCTAAAAGAGGCAAACTCATAAAGACAGAAAGTAGGACAGACGCTACCAGGAGCTAGGGAGAGAGGAGAATGGGATATTATTATTTAACGGGTATAGTTTGTTTGGGATGATGAAAAAGTTCCGGAAACAATGGTGATGGATACACAACACTGTTAATGTACTTAATGCCCTGAGTCGTATGCTTAAAAATGGTTAAGGTGGTTAATTTTGTTATGCACATTTTATCACAATAAAATAAAGCCAATGGAAATCGTATTTATTTTTAATTCAACCAGAAAGTATCTGACTCCAGTAAAAGAAAATGAATCAAACCTATTGAAAAGATTAACTTTTTTTTTTTTTTTAAAGATTTTATTTATTTATTTGACAGAGAGAGAGACAGCGA